TTTTACAAATAAATTTTATGAAAAATCATTTCAATTTAAAAATGTAGAAAAGCATCAATCATAAAGCTAAATTGAAAGCAGCGGTGTTAAATTTTCAATTGAAATTGGAAATGTGTCATTTTATGATGGCTCAAATAAAAATTAAACAGGCCTGTACACTTTTTCAATGGCTATCAATAAGTGTAGTTAGACGGTAAATGAGGATTTATTGGCTTATGAAATCTGCTTTAGTACTTTTAGTCCTCCTTTAAATCTGTCTCGTTTCTAATAAACTTGGTTTGAGAAAAATGGCTTCGAAGTTCAAATTGCAAACTGTTGCGTACGTGCTTTTATTTCCTCTTCTCTTTTTCCTCTATTCTCAAATCGACAAAACAGGTAAAAAAAACATACTTATATTCAAATTTCGGTGTTAAAAACCAATTTTGTCCATGAAAAGGCAGTTATTCGGTGATTTTTTTAAAGATTAATTTCATATGTTTTCACTTCCATCAGTTTCATTTTGATTTGATGAGTAGCGAAAAGATTTTTTTTTGTTTTGGGGCTGATCTATGACTTTATTCATGTTCCGATCATTAAAAATGGGAAGGAGTGTTGTATTCGGGGTGTTAAACTATTATTTGGGTGTCATATTAAGTTTAAACTTTTTCAGTCGTGATGAAAAAGAAAAATTTATGCTGCAAAGAATTTCAAAAAAAGTTTTAGAAAAAAATTTCTGAACTTTTTAAATATTTGTTGAGTGTTCGTTTTGTTCGTTTTCGAATAAAACCGTCATCCATTGTGTTTATCTCATTAACCTTCTACGCGTTCGCTTAGTTTCCTCATCACACAACGCAAATGAAAAAACGGAAAAAACGGCACTAATTAAAAAAATTCAAGAAATTGAATATGAAAATGAAAATGGTCTGAATATGGCCTTCAAGCAATTGTGAGTAGTTCCATGAGCTTTTCAGTGGCGGAATCCGAAACATTGCTACTTTTCTTTGATCTTGTTTGCTGTTTTTGGATTCCACAAACGAGTACTTAAAACATTGTACCACTCAAAATCGCTCCAAAAAATAGGCAAATAGGAATCCACAAACAAGTAAGACATGTGTATAGTTATATTGAACTGTTGCGGAATCCGCAACTGTAAGCTGAATCCGCAAATTGCAATTGGAATCCGCAAATTGTAAGTTGAATAGGCATTTTGTTTCCGGATTGCACTGAAAATTGAGGATTCCACTTACATTTTGCGGTTTCCACTTACATTTTGCGGAATCCACTGACAGTTGCGGCATCCAGAACAACTAGCTATATTTGCTTGTTGCGGAAACCGCAACAAAACAAATGTGCCGACAAAAGTTATGTTACAGGTATTTGTAAGCGGAATCCACGAAACTTTTGTAAGTGGAATCCACTTACATTTTGGAACCTGTTTAAAGATCTGTCTCCGGAATCCAGGAAAATACAGACACAAAATTGTGCGCCTATCCAGTGCACAGTTTGGCCTCGTTATGATAGTTTTTTAATTGCATTATCTCTGTTTATATGTCTCAAATTCCAGCATTACCAAAGAGATGAGCAAAAGACAAGCAACTGGTCGCGCCCGCGCAAAACTCTTTTTACCAGAAATATTTTGAAATGCTTTGAAAGTCTTCAAAGACGCGCAAAAAATGAGGCAAAACGTACTACATTTGCGACCTCTAAAATTTTGAAAAAGTGAAAAGTAGACTGCTTCACGTCAAGTTGGAACAATTGCTGAGCATGATTGAGTCGCACGAAATAGCAAAACAAGCAGAATTAAAAGGCAGCGCGCTAATCATCCAAATTTGGGTAATTTGGGTACCTTAGAGCTACCATAATTTTTATGTTAACCAATATGATTTTCTGACACCTGAAAAACCACAATAATGACCCTATTTTGATAATAAAATTTCTGCGCAGCAGGCAGATTTTGAAAAACCGCCCTGAAGCACGATTTTTAAAGACATTTTTCGATATTTCTCACCAAAATGGCGCGCTCAGTCTACTTTGGCGCCGAAAGACTTCAAGAAATAGATCAATGATTTCTTTTTTTTTTATCGATGAACACAGATAAAATAGTGATGATCATCGATGATTTAGCGCTGGAAAACAAAGAAAAAATCATCGCTAAATCGCTCATCAGAATCTCAAACAATACCGGCTTCTTAAGCTCAAAATTGAAAAGATATTTAATCTGCGATAATATTTCTTTTTAAAAAGTTACCCCTCTTCCTCCTAAAGAGATAGAAAAATTTCCGTCTAAAACTGCTAATGAAATATGCAGATTTTTGAGCTAATATAAAAGTAACAATACTATAAATCTAAACGAGCATTTATCTTTTTCAGCCAAAGAAGAAAGCATGAAGAAGTTCGAAAGGCGTGAAGAAAAAGAAGACTGGGCGAAACCGTCAGAACGACAAAATTGTCGGCCTATATTCCCAAACTATTCGCAACCATTGGACCCTTTCCTAAACATATCAAAATTGAAATTATTTGCCGATGGTGAGCTGGAAAATAATCTGCCGATCGACGAGATTTACCGAGAAAGGAGTCGGGTTATTAACAGCCGCTGCAATAATGAGTTTGTTAAACCTTAACTTTTTAAACTTAATTTTTCAGGATATTTAAAGTTTTTTTTCAATGCTTTGTAGTGGCTATTTTTCAAAGTTAGCAAGCCCAATTCGAAATGTTAAAATCAAAACGCTACTTTTTTGACAATTTTTTAGTTTGAAAATCTAATTTTAGCGTCCGCAGTATCGATACGAAACCACTTACAGAACTAATTAATGTAGAGAACAAACTTCGCCCCATTTTTTAAAGTTCTTGTGTTCTAATTAGCGTTGAGAACAAATTTCGCCCCAGTTTTTCTAGTTTTTTTTCTAATTAGCGTTGAGAACAAATTTAGCTCCACCTATTAAAATTCTTTTGTCTGAAATATTAGGTAAAAATAGGCGAGGAACAAAATTTGCCAACCGAGGGGCAAAACTTTTGAAAGGGCGTCCAGAAGAAAAGAAATTATCACAACTCAAGTTATAAGATGTTTTAGACGCAAAAATTGGTCAACTTTGGCGACCCCGTCGTCCATCAACCGTTTCGTGTTCTTGCCCAAATTGGACATTCTCTATTGCGGGATCACCAAATGCGGCAACACGGCGTGGTCTGAGATTTTGTGGAATTTAGAAGAGGGTAAAATACCCAATGTCAACCCGAATGGCAGTGGGGGAATTGGTAAGTACATTTATGTCACGAGATTTACGAGCATTGCCTTCCTTATTTTTCCCTTTATATATTTCTTAGACCTGATTTTGCAGAAAGGCTAAAAGTACCAATTCGAGTACCGTACCGTAACGTTAGGAAAGCAAGATTATATTGAGAATTACTGAACAGTCCAATTATAATAGAGCCAATCATAAAGAAGATCATTTATCTTTCGTAGAAACAAAAAAGCACACAAAAGACTTATTCGGGGATACTTTCTATTTTCCCGAAGAGGAGAAAGATTGTACAGCGTAGATCCAAATCCTCAATTGTCAGCCTGGTACAGTTGGCGTTTCCAAGAAATTGTCTTAAGGAAATATTTGCGCTGTTTTTTTTTCTTCGGACAAATTTCGACTTTTTAACTATAGCCACTTTTTAATGTAGCTATATATACGGAGGCGTAGCGACTTGCAGGCGCGCCATTTACTATGCTTAGTAAAAATAGTTACTCCAGTTTGATGCGGCACGCATCAGTTTGAGTTTTAGTAGCAAATGTGAGAAAACAAACTCAATTATAGTGCGGTAATAGGCGCATGCTAAGCGGCACCCATGCAAGTAGGCCGGGCCCCATTTTATAGCATCTGGCAAATATTGACCTTCTCGGCTGAAAATTCATTAAATGTATTTACTCTGATTGTTTTTCGTAAGCTAGGGCGTTTTTAAAATTGTCTAATTGGCTACTATGGGACTTTTAAAGTACGATATTTTTAGTTCCATTAACGTGTAAGGGACGTTTTAATCGGGCTCAAAAATCGTTCTAATCGTTCAAATCATTGGTTTGAGGCAAATTACTTGAAACTATCAGTACGTTGCTAGACTTTTATTGTTTCGACTAACTATGAAGAAAATGGCTGAACATAAGTGCTCAAAGTGGTTTATTTCTCCAGGCCAATTTCGACTTCATAATAATCTCTTTTGGTGGAATTTTTAACGCCACCTCAAAGATTTGGCTGTCGTGAGCTCAAATCATTTGTGATCTTTTTGTGAATTTATAAGCGATACAAAAAAGCCACTTTGACCTAATTGAGAGAATTGACGGACAATACACTTCGTGCCATTAACGCGCAAGCCGACAGAAGATTTAATCCGACAAAAAGTAATTTCGAATGAATTCAGGTCAACTATTTATTCCAATTATTACATGATTATAAATTTGCAAAAAGAGGGGATTCTTTGGGTCGGCAGGGGATCGAAACCCTTAGTGGGGGGGGGGGGGAGGGGGAGCTTCTGCAATTCCTCCACCCCCACCCCAAATCCGCCCCTGCAGTACCTGCAGTAAACACTAAACAGTAAGAAAAAAAACAGTAAGCAGTGAGAAAGTAAACAGTAAACAGTAAGAAAGTAAACAGTAAACAGTAAAAAAAGATTCCAACTGAAAAGTAAGCAAAAAATAGGCATAGAAATTGACTACACCCGGGATGACCAAAAATGCTTATCAAATAATTCTCATAAATGGGAAATTTCTTTTCATACAATTCCATACAATTCCATACGTACAAAAAATTGTATGAAATCTCTATAAAAACATTTTCC